GATGAGTCAACAGACGTGAGCCATTTGTCGCAGTTCAGCGTGATTGCAAGATATGCTGTTGGTGACACACTGCGCGAAGAAAGTCTTGCTGTTCTGCCATTAAAAGGGTCCACAAGAGGTGAGGATTTATTCAAGTCTTTCATGGAGTTTGCTCAAGAAAAAAGTCTACCTATGGATAAACTTCCTCTCAGTGTGTACTGATGGTGCTCCGTGTATGGTGGGGAAAAACAAAGGATTTTGTGGCGCTTCTCCGTGAACATGAAAATAGACCCATCCTAAGTTTCCATTGCATTATACACCAGGAGGCACTTTGTGCTCAGATGTTGTGACAGGCAGTTTGGCGAAGTGATGTCGCTGGTCATTCGTGTGATCAACTTTATTGTTGCCCGAGCCTTAAATGATCGCCAGTTTAAAACACTGCTGGATGAAGTTGTAAATAACTATCCTGGTCTGCTTTTGCACAGCAATGTGCGTTGGTTGTCAAGAGGGAAGGTGCTTAGCCGTTTTGCGGCTTGCCTGAACGAAATCCGGACTTTCCTTGAAATGAAAGGCGTCGGGCATCCTGAGCTAGCCGACACCGAGTGGCTCCTCAAGTTTTACTATCTCGTAGATCTGACTGAACATCTGAACCAGCTCAACGTGAAATGCAAGGCATTGGAAATACAGTGTTATCCCTTCAACAAGCTGTATTTGCTTTTGAAAACAAGCTGGAGCTTTTCATCACGGATCTTGAAACAGGTCGTTTACTACATTTTGAAAAAACTGAGCCAATTTAAAAGATGCATGCACAGCAAGTGAGCCCATTCAAAACCTTGATCTCCACCAGCTAGCTGGCTGCACATCTAGTCTCCTACAGTCCTTCAAAGCACGCTTTGGAGAATTTCGTGAGCACACTCGTCTTTTTAAGTTCATCACCCATCCAAAACGAGTGTTCACTGAACACAGCCGACCTGAATACATCCCATGGTGTCTCCGTCAGAGATTTTGAAGCAGAAGTGGCTGACCTGAAGGCCTCAGACATGTGGGTGAATAAGTTCAAGTCACTGAATGAAGATTTGGAAAGAATCACACGACAGAAAGCGGAGTTGGCGAGCAAGCACATGTGGACAGAAATGAAAAAAACTCCAACCCGAAGACCAGCTGATTCTCAAAACTTGAACGCGCTTCCTGTCACATACCACATACTGCAGCGTGTGAGTATTGCTGTATTGACCATGTTTGGATCTACGTATGCATGTGAGCAGTCATTCTCACATCTTAAAAACATCAAGTCCAACCTACGATCACGTTTAACGGATGAAAGCCTCAACGCTTGCATGAAGCTTAACCTCACCAAGTACCAACCCGACTACAAAGACATCAGCAAATCCATGCAGCACCAGAAGTCGCATTAATGGTGAGTGTTATAACAACATTATTTAAAAGAATAAATTCAGAGGCTTATTATACTGACATTTAGTTGAATTCACTTTTAAAATATATTATATGGCTCTCACTGAAATAAATTTCCAAATTTTTTGCTTTCATGGCTCTCTTAGTCAAAAAGGTTCCCGACCCCTGTACTAGAGCGACAACACAAGGACACACAGAGAGAGAATCAAACAAACTTAGTAAACTTTTGAAATGTAATGCAATGCAACACAGAGCGTCGGTCAACACAATTAAAGCATAGCCTGGTTGATTACGTTCTTCGAAAGATTGCTAAATTGGAAGTTAAGTGTGAAATTTTGAGAGAGAGACAAGACACAGACACGGAGACACAAAGACAGACACACAGAGAGAGAGAACACAGACACAGAGAAGGAGAAAACAAACTGCAGGAAATACTAGAGAGACAACACAGAGACACAGAGAGAGAGAGAGAAAACACACTTAATCAAAACAAACAGTAAAATTTGGAAATGTAATGCAATGCAACACAGAGAATCGGTCAACACACAATTAACGCATAGCCTGGTTGATTACGTTCTTCCAAAGATTGCTAAATTAGAAGTGAAGTGGGAAATTCGAGAGAGAGACAAGACACAGACACGAAAACACAAAGACAGACACACAAGCAGAGAGAGACAACACAGAAACACACGGAGAGAGAGAGAAAACAACCTTTACGAATGAAAGAGAAAACAAACCTAGTAAACTTAGAAATATAATGCAATACAACACAGAGAGTCGGCTAACATAACAGCCAACACCCTACCTGGTTGATTATGTTCTTCCAAAGATTGCTAAATTTGAGAGACAAAACACAGACACTGAGACACATAGACAGACACATAAGCAAAGATAGATAACACAGAGACACACAGAAAGAGATGCACACTTAACCACACAGAGAAACAACGCCTCTGTTTCGAGGCCTTGAATAGAGAGAGAGGGGGGCAGAGAGAGAGGGGGCTGTGAAGAAATTAGCATGTCAATGAGAGATTTGGAGCTTTCGTGACTGCAGCAAATACTAGAGCGACAACACAAGGACACACAGAGAGAGAGTGAAAACACAGGTAATCAAACAAACTTAGTAGAATTTGGAAATGTAATGCAATGCAACACAGAGAGTCGGTCAACACACAATTAACGCATAGCCTGGTTGATTACGTTCTTCCAAAGATTGCTAAATCAGAAGTTAAGTGTGAAGTTTTGAGAGAGAGACAAGACACAGACAGGGAGACACAAAGACAGACACACAAACACAGACAACACAGAGACACACAGAGAGAGAAAACAAACTTTACGAAAGAAGGAGAAAACAACCCTAGTACAAATTTTGATTTAAAGCTATTATTTTATTGTTTCCCTTCTACGTTACTTTACCGAAAGAACCAAGAATATGAAACCCTAGTACACTCAGAAATATAATGCAATACAACACAGAGAGTCGGCTAACATAACAGTCAACACCCTACCTGGTTGATTACGTTCTTCCAAAGATTGCTAAATTTGAGAGAGAGACAAAACACAGACACAGAGACACATAGACAGACACATAAGTAGAGAGATAACACAGAGACACACAGAGAGAGACACACACATAGGCACACAGAGAAACAACGCCTCTGTATCGAGGCCTTAAATAGAGAGAGAGGGGGGCAGAGAGAGAACGGGGGGGGTAAAGAAATTAGCATATCAATGAGAGATTTGGAGCTTTCGTGGCTACAGGAAATACTAGAGAGACAACACAGAGACACAGAGAGAGAGAGAAAACACACTTAATCAAAACAAACTTAGTAAAATTTGGAAATGTAATGCAATGCAACACAGAGAATTGGTCAACACACAATTAACGCATAGCCTGGTTGATTACGTTCTTCCAAAGATTGCTAAATTAGAAGTTAAGTGGGAAATTCGAGAGAGAGACAAGACACAGACAGGGAGACACAAAGACAGACACACAAACACAGAGAGACAACACAGAGACACACAGAGAGAGAAAACAAACTTTACGAAAGAAGGAGAAAACAACCCTAGTACAAATTTTGATTTAAAGCTATTATTTTATTGTTTCCCTTCTACGTTACTTTACCGAAAGAACCAAGAATATGAAACCCTAGTACACTCAGAAATATAATGCAATACAACACAGAGAGTCGGCTAACATAACAGTCAACACCCTACCTGGTTGATTACGTTCTTCCAAAGATTGCTAAATTTGAGAGAGAGACAAAACAGACACAGAGACACATAGACAGACACATAAGTAGAGAGAGATAACACAGAGACACAGAGAGAGACACACACATAGGCACACAGAGAAACAACGCCTCTGTGTCGAGGCCTTAAATAGAGAGAGGGGGGCAGAGAGAGAGGGGGAGTAGAGAAATTAGCATATCAATGAGAGATTTGGAGCTTTCGTGGCTACAGGAAATACTAGAGCGACAACACAAGGACACACAGAGAGAGAGAAAACACAGGTAATCAAACAAACTTAGTAGAATTTGGAAATGTAATGCAATGTAACACAGAGAGTCGATCAATACCCAATTAACGCATAGCCTGGTTGATTATGTTCTTCCAGAGATTACTAAATTGTGTGTCTGTCTTTGTGTCTCCGTGTCTGTGTCTTGTCTCTCTCTCAAAACTTCACACTTAACTTCTGATTTAGCAATCTTTGGAAGAACGTAATCAACCAGGCTAAGCTTTAATTGTGTTGACTGACTCTCTGTGTTGCATTGCATTTCCAAATTTTACTAAGTTTGTTTTTATTAAATGTGTTTTCTCTCTCTGTCCTTGTGTTGTCTCTCTAGTATATGCTGCAGTCATCAAAGTTCCAAATCTCCCATTGACATGCTAATTTCTCTACCCCCCCCCCCCTTCTCTCTCTGCCCCCTCTCTCTAAGGCCTCAACAATGAGGCGTTGTTTCTCTGTGTGCCTATGTGTGTGTCTCTCTCTCTTCGTCTCTGTGTTATCTCTCTCTGCGTATGTGTCTGTCAAGTGTCTCTGTGTCTGTGTTTTGTCTCTCTCTCAAATTTAGCAATCTTAGGAAGAACGTAATCAACCAGGTAGGGTGTTGTCTTGTTTTAGCTGACTCTCTATGTTGTATTGCATTATATTTCTAAGTTTGCTCGGTTTGTTTTCTCTTTCATTCGTACCTGATGATGATTGCTTGTGTTGCAATCGAAACGTCGTATGCTATTATTTAATGTATTTTTCTTTCTACGTGACTTTACCGAAAGAACCAAAGAGTAAAAACGTATCACAAGAGGAATTTAAAGTATCGCGCACAGACCCGATTCCCTGCAGTGTAATAAAACCATCGACTTGCTTAGAGACTCATTGACTGAAACACACTGACATAGAGACCCATGTCTCACATGGCGGCCCAAAAACTCACATATGGAACAATAGACTCACACAGAGTCCCATAGACTAACACAGAGGGCCCATAGACTAACACAGAGGGCCCATAGACTCACATAGAGATCCAAAGACTCACACAAAAACCCATAGACCCCACACGGAGACTGATGAACTAACCCGGAGCGCCGGTGTGCATCCCCATGTGCAGGTGTGGTCCGTGCTCTTCTTTGTCATGCTCTTCATGCTCGGGCTCTCCTCCATGTTCGGCCACATTGAGAGCATCCTCACTCCACTGCTCGACCTACACGTCTTCCCGGCCAGGTTCCCCAATGAGGCGATCTCAGGTCACTACACGCCCCGCCTCTGGGCCTACGGGCTTCTGTGTGGGGTCTGTGGGTCTCTGTGTGGAGTATATAAGTCACTGTGTGGGGTCTACGGGTCTCTTTGTGAGGTCAATGGGTCTTTTTCTGGGGTCTATGGATCACTGTGTGAGTCTATCAGTCTCTGTGTGAGTTTATGAGTCATTGTGTGGGGTCTGTGGGTCTCTGTGTGAGATTATGGGTCACTGTGTGGGGTCTGTGAGTCTCTGTGTGGGGTCTGTGAGTCTCTGTGTGGGGTATACGGGTCCCTGTGTGAGTTTACGGGTCTTCCTGCGGGGTTTATGGGTCTCTGTGTGAGTCTACAGGTCCCTGTGTGAGCCAAAAAAGCCACCACTCTTTTGAGCCTCACGGGCGCCATGAATTGCCCTGCACCCCACGTCCCAGGTCTGATCTGCGGTGTTAGCCTCCTCATCAGCCTGCTGTTCACGCTGGGTTCTGGCAGCTACTGGCTCATTGTGTTTGACAGCTACGTGGGCTCCCTACCGCTCCTCTTCACTGCCATGATCGAGCTCCTTGCGGTCATCTACATCTATGGCTACCACAGGTGGGTGCCGTTTGATTAAATGGTTGATTATTATTTTTGTTTTCTCGTGGTAATAAACATTCAGCCATGCGCTGGCTTTACGAGCATCACTCATCGTGATTGGCTGAGCCTCACTGCCTCCTCACTGGAGACTGAGAAAACCGGCACATGACCGGGGACCTACAATAGTGCCGCTTGGGGAGACAAGACGGAGACCAGACTTAAACGAGACAGAGATGAGGCAAGACAGAAATGAGACGGAGACAAGACGGAGGCGAGGCCAGACTTAGACAAGACGGAGGCGAGGCGGAGACTAGTCGGGGGCAAGACAGAGGCAAGGCTAGATGGAGACAAGACGGGGGCGAGACAAAGGTGAGATGAAACAGAGACGAGACGGAGGTGAGATGGAGACGAGACAGAGAAGAGATGGAGGTGAGATGGAGACAAGATGGAGACGAGACAGAGAAGAGATGGAGGTGAGACGGCAGTGCATGTGTCTTCCCATGGCAGCAGCATCATCACGAGCAGTGTAGTCACGACGTGTTCTGTATAGGCATCTCGCGGTCAACTTCGTGTGGTCAAGCCACAGGGGTGGGCGCAATCAGCAAACTCTGTCACTAGTACATTGACACGAAACTGCAAAAATCTCGATAACTAAACCCGCGAGAGGGAAGGGTTTGCTGCATTACAACACCCATCCGGGGGTTTGGTCTGATCTCTCCCCTTGCGCTCGTCTTCGGCTAACTTCAGGTGGGTGCCGTTTGATAGACATTCTTTTTTTTCCGCTCGTGGTAAAAAAACCTTCAGCCTACATCTACACCGCTCGCGGTCCCCACTCGAGTGGGGCAGTGAGCCCAATCTCCTCCCTTCTTTAAACTGCACACGTGGTGGATCACACACAGGTGTTGCTAACACTCCCCTCCCATGGGCGTAGAGGAGTGGCCGTACCCTGGCCTTGCCAAGAGAGGGTAGTACAGCGAAAATGTTGACTCCACCTGTTCCTCCGTCTGTACGGGATAGAGTGTTTCCCCCTCTCATGTGTGGGTTTTCTCTAGGCGCTGCGGTTTCCTCCCACATGTGAACACTCATCATTGATTGCTCAATGATACCTTTGTATATAGGGGACCGCAGTGCTTGGGAAATGTTGGTGCGCTGGCTCCTCACCATTTGGTTGTTCCTGCCTTCCGGCATGTCTGTGGTTCCTCCGGGTGCCTTTGATTCATCCTCTGTCTTTCTACGAGAGCATTGACTCTTGTACGGCATTCTACGGCGTTACATGTCACACGTTACACGTTATAAGTGTCGCCATTGCACCACCCTGTATCTCGTTTCTGTCTCTCTGATTTAATGTCTCTATCTCTTCAGGTTGTATCAGTGTATATATCTGTGTCTACCTCTATGTCTGTCTCTCTCTCTGTGCAGGTTCAGCAGTGACCTGGAGTTCATGACAGGCCGCAGGCCTAACCTCTACTGGCGGGTGACGTGGTGCGTGATCAGCCCCCTGCTCCTGGTCATCATCTTCATAGCCTATGTGGCCATGCAGTCCAGCACTCCCTTCACCTACGAGACTTGGAACCCGGACTACGTGAGTGCATGAGACGTTCTCTTTTGCTCTGTATCAACAACAACAATAACAGCCACCATTTGCCAGTAAGTGGCGGTGATGTCACCATGGCACTTGTGCCAGGCTGTGTACACTTTGAGGCTATCACGTGAAGTGCCAAACGCCCGTTGGCAGGTTACTGGACAGACCCAGGTGTCATGGGTTGACTGACTGATATGACTGGCAGATGCACCACCTGTGTCCCTACTCTGCCAACTTGCTCTGCTCATCGTTGAGTAGAGCACGATTGGCTATGTACGGTGGGAAAGAAGTTCAACATACATATGTGAACATCGCTGCTCTGCCCTCCACTGTTGTTGAACGGCGCCTACCTACAACGGCCCAGTAGCATCTTTCACTAGCCTCTTCCACAGAGGCTGATCTTGACACTGCTGCTACCAGTCATTAAAAAGTTCACTCAGCACATTAGTTAATCTCTTTTCTAGCACATGCCATACCCGTTTAGCCCCCTCTACCCGGCCAAACAAAAGCTGCGTGGGCATGCGGTGACTGGGCATAGCCAATGCAGACTTGCCTGCAGGTGGCGCTCACTGATGGGAATTTGTCCAGATCTTTCAAGGATTTGTGAGCTCCACACACAATTCAGCCTGGTTAAACCCAGAAGGGATCGTAGGCAGGCCAGCCTGAATGTTTATAGCTATCGCAGATGTTCCGTTTGGGGAGTCCACATTCTCAAACTATAAAAAAGGGAACGCATGGCTCTGGCCGAGAAGACCCGAAGCTTTGTGTGGAGCAACGGACCAGGTACCTTCCACAAAGCATTACGCAGCTGGTGAAAAGATAATGCCGTCCGACTGATTCGGAGTGAGATCTCTGCTGTGAAACCGGAGCTGGTCATAAGCACACGGCCCCGGTAAGTAAAACTCTCCACTCTCTCTACAACTGCTCCATCAACAATGGGGAGTTAATGGGGTGGAGTGTTTGATGACACAAAATACTCAGGCAGGTGCTTTGTTTTGTTGGGGCTGGTGATAAGGCCCCACCTCTTAGTAGCATGCTCTAGGTTAAGCAGCAAAACCTCCAACTCCTCCTCTGAGTGAGCAGTAATCACCACATCATTAGCATACATAGCATAGGTGACCAATAGGGAGCCATCCCTTGACCGCATCCGAGCTTCAATCAGCCTCCCATTGAATTTGCTTTAGTAGATGAACATAGAGTGTGGATCTCTGTATCAGTCTATGGGTCTATATAGGAGTCTGTGGGTCTCTGTATGAGTCTGTGGGTCTCGATATAAATCTGTGGGTCTCGATATAAGTCTGCGGGTGAGTATGGTGAATCTATGGGTTTATGTATGTGGCTGTGGGTCTCGGTATGAGTCTGTGGGTGTCTGTACCATTCTATGGATCTCGATATGAGTGTGTGGGTCTATGTGTAAATCTTTGGGTCTCTGTGTGAGTCTATGAGTCTCTGTATGAGCCGATGGGTATATGTGTGACTCTGTGGGTCTTTACACAGCAGCAGCAACAACATAACCCCCCCCCCTCCCCCCGCAACTGAAAAATATTGGTAGAACCCTCCTGAAAAAGAATATTGATGCTCGGTGACTTTTTGTTGGGTAAATAAGCGTAATATCATTATAACACTTTCTGCACGTACACAAAGACAAAGATCCCCCTCATACCCTTAACAGATAGTTGGTGCAAGCACTGTTAGCGAGTGCCTATTAAGGCTGGCACGGCACACAAGGGGGTGACTAGCCAGCACCATGCCAGACCGCCTTTGTCTACCCAGTGGTGATGTTTTTACGTACCATACCAGGTACTTATTTGAGGCTGAGTCGACCTAGAGGAGGCCCAGGACCGGTTCAGATAATCGTCACTGATGTTGGCCATGAGCGCGAATCGAACTCGCATCGCCAGGTTTGTAGCGCAGCACGCTAACCGCTACACTACCGCTCCCCACACACATACACATGCGCACACACGCAGGACAAGTTTCCGGAGAAGCAGGTGAGGCCGTACCCACCTTGGATGGCGGCGGTGGTGGTGCTACTGGCCAGCGTGCCCTGCCTAAGCCTCCCACTGGTGGCCCTCTACCGGCTCGCTCAGGGCGGGTGGCCTCCACAGACTCCTCCTCTTCCTCCTCCTGGGGGCCTCAACATGGGGGACCCTGCCGACTTTGGTGGCCCCAGCACGCGGCTCTGAGTGAGCGGCCGTAACGTGCGATGCCACGTCAGTTTGACAAGGCGGGTGACCCGAGGTTATTTTGCTGAGTCAACGTCACGACGCATTCGGTTTGGTTTTGGGGGTCCATTCCTCCTTCTCCCTGTGCCCAATCCCGTTGCTGGTCCATCTCCCTCGTTTTACCCCTCCACTGGAATCAACTTCTCCCTGTACAACAAGCACCATTGCCCATAGATTCAGCACTGCCCATAGACTCAGCACTGCACCATAGACTCAGCGCTGCACCATAGACTCAGCGCTGCATCATAGAGCTCAGCGCTGCACCATAGAGCTCAGCAGTGCACCATAGACTCAGCGCTGCACCATAGATAATAAAGGTTTTTGGGTTAGATCGCGTACGTATAAATGTCGTAACCCTCCACCACCCAACACAGCCAATTAGTAATAGATTTCATACTCTTTGGTTCTTTCGGTAAAGTCACGTAGATAGCCAATTTATAGACCACGACGTTTCTATCGCAACACAAGCAATCGTCATTAGGTGAGACAAACATCAGGAGAACTGCTGAGGTAGTGGAAAGAGCTGCTGCAACAAGAGGTTATATCGGCTTGAGGTGGGCTCAACCCAAGGGTAAGTGGGCGGAGCTAGAAATGGAATGTGCATGTAAATGTAAGAGATTAGCATTCAGTGTGAGATGGCTCCAGCAACCGGGGGCTGTGCCAATAAGAAGATTAGCATGTCAATGTCAGAGAACCGGGCAACAAAAACTAAAAAAAAACGGCAAGAGCAACTACGAGGAGAAACGAGCATGTCAACGAGAGAGACACACATGGAGAGAGAGAGAGAGACACACAAAGAGACACACACAGAGAGACACAGAGAGAGACACACACAGAGGTACAGCCCACAAACAGAGGTTGAGACATGCACATAGAGAGAGACACACAGAGACCCACAGAGACACACAGAGAGACAACCACACAGAGAGAGACACGCACATAGAGAGACACACACAGAGACAGAGACACACCCAGAGAGAGACACACAGAGAGACAACCACCGAGAGACATACATAGAGAGACACAAGCACATAGAGAGATACACATATGCAGAGACACACACAGAGACACAACACAGAGAGAGAGAGACACACAGGGAGACAACGCCCACACATAGAGAGACGCACATATAGAGAGACGCACAGAGAGAGAGACACACACGGAAACAAAACGCCAATTTGTTACTACTCCACAACATTTACAATTTGAGTACGGCATATTCTTTGGTTCTTTCGGTAAAGTCACGTAGATATAAAAATATTAATAATACAAACTAAGTTGCCTCTGTGGTAGTAATTGCATTGGAGAAACCAAACGACATGTCTCGGACCGCATTCGTGAACACAAAGCAGACCTTAAATACGGTAGGACCAACACCTCGGCCGTGGCAGATCATTGTTATAATTCAGTAGGCTCACATGACATTGACTTCTCCAAGACAGAGGTTCTTTGCAAGCCATCTGGCTACCATGAGAGATTCGTTCACGAGGCTATCCACATATACAAACACAGAGACAATTTCAACCGAGAAGATGGTTTCTGGCTTAGCAATCATTGGAAGGATTTGATAAACCATGTCGGGTCTTAATTGATTGTTCACGCTTACAGTGGCTTTCAGACAGCATACATTAATTTTTCGTCTCCTCCCTCCTCTTTTCCGAACATAGATGGACTCGTCCATCTAAACAAACTGTCAAATCGCTATCCGTGGTGCTAACGTTTGAAAATAAATAAATAAACCGCCACTTCTTTCAAATGTTCTTGCCGTTGGTTTTCACACCTGATGATGACTGCTTGTGTTGCAGTCGAAACGTCGTGATAATTTTATTGTTTGATATATTTTATTGTTTCCCTTCAACGTGACTTTACCGAAAGAACCAAGAATATGAATCACTGCAGTCACGAAAGCTTTAAATCAAAATTTAATACAAATAAAGTGAATAAAATAATTAAAAAGAAAAAATACTAATGTAGACTGTAGCCTGGTTCTAAATCGGAGTGAGCGTACTGATAGTCTATAATGTAGACTGTAGCCTGGTTCTTAACTTCGGTGAGTGTACTGGCAGTCTATAATGTAGACTGTAGCCTGGTTCTTAAGCTGGTGAGTGTATTGACAGTCTATGATGTAGACTGTGGCAATGGTTTTTAAACTGAGCGAGCGCACTGGTAGTCTATAATGTAAACTTTAGCCTGGTTCAAACCTGAAAAATTTCAAAACAAAAACCACGACGTTTCAATCGCAACACAAGTGGTCGTCATCAGGAAAAAGGGGGGTTAGCCTCTAAAGGCAAACTGTTTATAACGGTTTAGAGATGGGCGTAGCCCAAGTTTGTCAGCAGCATGGGCGGGCAGCTAATGTTAATGTAGGAAACAACTAAGCAATTAGTGGGTCTCCACCAAAAAGGCCTCCAGGCAATAATTGCACCTTGCTCCACACACCCACACTGCTGACGGTGGAGGTTGACAAGAAAACACAAATCAAGTCATGACCCAAAGTGGTTGATGACTTCTTTCCAATGATTGCTGAATTTATAACCATCATCTCGGTTGAAATTGTGTCTGTGTCTGTATATATGGATGGCTTCATGAGCGAATCTTTGTTGATAGCCAGTAGACTTGCAAAGTACCATCGTCTTAGAGAAATCAATTTCGTGTGAGCCAGTCGCATTAAAATAATGATCGGCCATGGCAGAAGTATTGGTCCTACCGTGTTTCAAATCTGCCTTATGCTCACGAACACGGTCTGAGACATGTTGCTTAGTTTCCCCAATGTAACTGCTGCTGCAGATACAGCTTAGTTTGTAGACGCTGGGATATTGCATGTCAGGAATCTTGTCCTTCACAGAGGGGATCAGATCTCGAATTTTATGTACTGTGTTAAATCGGACCTGGAGCTTGTGTTTGTTCATGATTTTGGAAATATTTTTGGATGATTGGATCCAATCAAATCGATGGTACTTTGCAAGCCTACTGGCTATCAACAAAGATTCGTTCATGAAGCCATCCATATATACAAATTTTTGACCGTGAACCCCAGTGGCACAACTCCGGTCATCCTCACAGCAGCAGCGGCTTTTACCTGGCCATCACCGAATTGTGCGATTTCAGATGCTATATATACTACACACTAATATACACTACACTACTGTACACAATACTATACACTAACCTAGACTAACCTATACACTGCTATACACATGACACTATACACTACATTTTAAACTACACTTTACACTTTTGGCTAGCCTTCGAACAAAGATGGTCACTGCATCGCACGCTTTCAGATGCGCTTCGGCGGTTGTCTGGAACACTCTTCTGATATTCGGAAACCTCTGGTGCGATGCACTTTTAAATCTAAATCGAAAACTAATTTCTTGAGAATTGCTTTTTGTGTTTAGTTCCCCTGCACCTCCGATTAGCGCTGTCGGCTCCGTACTTGATATTGACATTAATTTTGTTGTTGACCTCTTATTGTTGGTAATATGAACAATATTATATTTTTTTATTTAAAGCTTTCGTGACTGCAGGGATTCATATTCTTGGTTCTTTCGGTAAAGTCACGGAAGAATCAACAATATGAATATTATAATTGTTGTTGATTTGATGTCGTATATATTATATAGCACGGTTCCGCAACCTCCAATTAACACGGTTGGTTATGTACGGTGTGAAAGAAGTTCAACGTACACACATACACAATGGCCAACTCCTTTTTTCCCAATTACACCACGTGATCCAATGGCTATGGAGTGAAGGGGAATGCATCGAGTAGTATGGTATGGTTAATACCAACCACAGTAATAACCAGAGTGGTCTTCCTGATTCAAACCGCGAACCTCTGCAATGCTCCCATCCCATTCCAACCCCCCACCCCACACCCACCCACTCGACCTTTTAATAAAGATGTCATTATTTTGATTTCAAATGCGTGTGGTTATCAGTTGTCAATAGTATTGTGAAGGAGTTCCAGTCAGATGAGTATTCAACTCGATCTTCTTTGCGCCTTTCACAGCACAGCGCTGCCACCACACAAGGAATCATTTGGTCAGGAGCAACCTCGAACCCCTTTCTATAGACTCACACAGAGACTAACATAGAGACTCCCACAGAGACACAGAAACACAAAGACTCACATGGAGACACCGATACTCACATAGAGACTCATACAGAGACACAACATCCCATAGATACACACAGAGACCCATAGACTCGCAAAGAAACACTAGAGACTCAAGAGAGTCCCATCGACTCAACTCAGAGAGCCATAGACTTGCATTGAGACACATACACAGAGAGCCAGAGACTCGCATAGAGACCCAGAGACTCATACAGAGACCCATAGATTTAGAAAGACTCATAGACACAGAAACCCATAGACTCACATCGACTCAAACAGAGACCCAGACACAGAGACCCATATTCTCAAAACATAGAGACACATCGACTCAGAGAGACCCAGACACACACAAAGACCCATAGACTTAAAGAGACCCATATACACATAGAGATCCATAGACTCATGGAGAGACGCAGCATCACGTAGACTCACATAGAGACCCATAGACTCGCATAGAGACTCAGACTCAGAAAGACCCAAAAGGTAAACTCTATTCTTTTTTCACTCATATACTCTGCTGAGTCTGTCTAAGGCCGTATGTGTGATGACGGCTATGACCACAACTTGACTGCATTTACAATTTAGATGAACTAAAGAGCTTCATAGCTCATCGGATTCCTCCAGTCTAAATACAGATTCTGATATTGTTTGATATGGGATGGAGTGGTGTCGAGTAGGTAAACTGCCGATAGCTATGGTACTACTGAGTTTATCATGGTTAAGAATCTGTTTTTATACAGGACTCCAATGAACTATAAAGATCTTTTTCACAGATGTCCAGTCTGGGCACAGGGTCAGAACGTTACAACTAGACAATTTAGACAAGACCCTCTTGCAATCACACTTAACATTGACAGAAATAATGTCTACATCTGATTGGGACCATGTAAATAACATGACAGCCTCTTCAGCAGCCTCAATATCAGCTAAATGCAAAGACAACTTGATTTCCCAGTTCAACCTCTCCAAGAAGAAGCCAGATCCAGACACTATAAAGTTAGATGCTGACAAGATTGTTATCAATCAGAGCAACAGCCCAATTTCTGACATCCTAAAATCGGTTCTAGCTAAAGGGTTGAATTTTGTAATCACCCCTAAACACATCCCAGCTGATATCATTGCCCAGGTCGACGTAGCCCTTAACCGGTTGGGGACACATTCCTGCAGACGTAGCAAGATTGGAAATCACTGCAATCCTCAAAAACGCTAAGACACCTATTAGCAATATCAGCAAGGATGAGCGCCTTGA